AAACCATTTCAGGTGACTACCTCTTGAAGCTCATGGAGAGAATGCCAAGAGTGTGCAAAGCAGTAATCAGAGCAAAGGGTGGCTATTTTGAAGAAACTAGAATATAAAACATGTTTTCAGTTATTTCACCTTTTTTTGTTAAGTACATAACTCCACATGTGTTCATTCATAGTTTTGATGCCTTCAGTGAGAATCTACAATGTAAATAGTCATGAAAATAAAGAAAACGCATTGAATGAGAAGGTGTGTCCAAACTTTTGGCCTGTACTGTATTTCTTGCTTTTTATTGGATTCTTTTTCACTGACTGCTAATGTGCTTTTTGTTGTCTTTTATCTTTTGTTGTAATTTTTGTATAATGTTCTTAGTTTGGTTCTTTCATGTAATTTTCTCCCTTTTTTGTCATTGTTTTTCTCATTAAGTTGAGGGGAGGTATGTTTGTATAAGCCTGTGGCCTCTAGACCTCTTCTGACACTTTTTTTTTTTTGTTTTAGTATTTACTATTCAGATTTTATGCAGTTTTAAATAAATAATTTTTAGTTGAAGAAATAGCAGCGTGTAGCAGGCAACAATAATAACCATGACTTTCAAAATAAATGTGCACAAATGTGTCCCATACCCAGGGCCCTCAGCAGAAATGTCATTAAGGACAGCATCCTCCTCCCTTGTGTTTTTAATCCACAGCTGACCAACTTATACTTCTTTAAAAGTCTGGAACTGAGAAAGTGGAGATCGGATGCTCATTTAAAGGGGGAAGGCTCTACTGCCATTTCCAAGTGTTTCACAGTTTCTAAACAGCTGTACATCGCATCATTGGAATGCACAAGGAGACAGATTCTGTAAGAAACAAACCTGGGTGTAGTCAAAAATGCTTTCAGAATCTTAAAATGTTTTCAAAAACTTTGGAAAGGAAAATAGTCGGAGATGCCAACAACAATCCCTGGATTTCTGCCTAGATAATTGATGAACTGGCCTCTTCACTCGATGTTTCAAGGAAGACTGTTGGTAGACTCAAGGTTAATGTCCATGCTCGAAAACCATATAATTTGGATGAGTTGGAACAATTTGCCTTGGAAGAATGGGCTAAGATCCCTTCTTAAACTTTTGGTTATGGTCATTTCCATACAAAGGTTAAGGGTTTTGTTTAATTTCATAAAGGGGGGTAATAATTTTGACCTTAACTGTACATTTGTCATTGTATATAATTTTATTTATCAATTTCAAAGGTCCATGCACAGCCACACATTTGATTTGAGAATGTGCACCTGGTTTAGAGCTTTCAAAGAATATTTAAAACTTTTGACCAATTTGCTTTTACCCAGAAACTTTCCACATTACAGTATTACATCAAATCCATAATTTAGTTTCAGTCCATGGCAAAGACAATCTATTCTAGCAGGAGAACTAATTATTATAACATGATTTTTCTTTTAATGCTCCTGCTATAAACTGTTCCTGTGTCTCTGAGATATTTCATACTGAAGTTGTGTGTGGAGCTTCTGGTGCGAAAACCTGTTCATGCTGTTTCAAAGTACGGTTGCAGGATTTTTGTACGCAATCTATATGCCAGTGTCAAGGTGTTTTTTAGCTGGTCTATGTAATCATGGGTAGTTGCCCTTTTTTGCATTTTTATGATTCCCTTATAGTCAAGTCAACTTTATTTATACAGCACACAACACTAACAGCAACAATGACAATCGCACTATGCACAGTTCAGGGCTGGTGAGTAAAAGTGTGTTTTAAGATGACTCTTGAAAATCTCAATGGTAGGGGATAATCGGCTGGTGGAAGCAAGGAATTTCAAGAGAGTTTTGGGGCAGCGATGGAAAAAGCCCTGTCCCCATAACAGTTAGTCCTGGATCTCAGGACAGACAGCAGTCTTTGGTCAGACAATCTCAGTTCTCTCACAGTGTGATATGGGGAGAGAAGCCTGATGAGGTAAGAGGGTGCGAGGCTGTTTAGACAAACGTGAGAATCTTAAAATGTATTCTGTCACTAACAGGCAGCCAGTGTAGGGAGGCAAGGATGGGGGTAATGTGCTCCCTCTTGTCTGACCTTGTTAAAACTCTTGCTGCTGCATTTTGGACTAGTTGAAGACGAGATAAACAAGACTGAGTAATATAAAAATATAACGAGTTGCAATAGTCGAGGCAGGGATAACTCTCTCCAGGTCAGAGGTACAGAGATTTGATCTGAGTTTGGAGATTGTGTGCAGCTGCATGAACCTTAATTTTACAACTTGACTGATTTGTTTGTCAAGCTTCAATTCCGAATCAAATATGACTTGAAGATTTTTAACATGACATTTAAGTGCTGTGGTCCAAATAAAAGAACTTAAGTTTTACTCTCATTGAGCTGGAGAAAATTTGCAGCCACCCATGATTTGATGTGGTGAAGACAGTTGAGTTCAGTTACTTTATTGCTCAAAGCTCAAAGGGGAAGTAGATCTGCATGTCATTCACATAACAGTGAAAAGATATGTTTTTGAATAATGTGCCCTGATGGAAGTCAATAATTTCATAACTTATCTATAATATAAAAACTCCTTTGCAAAATTGGGTAATATTCCCCTGACTTCTATAAAATTCTTATTTTTTTATATTGTGGTACTTTCAAAAACAACATAATATTCCAAGAATTTCAGGGCCATTGACAATAATGCTCATCTGTTGACATTATCCTTCATTTTTTATCTTTATTCTAAATGAATCCATTAAGCAACAGTTACAGCTTTAGCGTTGATATTAACAAAAAAAAGAATGAAAATTATTAAAATAAAAAGTATAAATTATTTTCTGTAACAACAGCTGTACATTCTGCCAAAAATTGTAGCAAAACTGAAACCTCCATTAGCTATTCAACAAGTTATACCCAATCACAGGAGGCACAAAGTAAAATTTTTAATAAATAGCTGTTAAAAAAACCCCTTAAATTTCAAAGAAACAGATGCTTAGTGAACAGAAACATATCTTTAAACACAGCCTCAGCATCAACATATCCAGACGCTGTCCCAGAACAACACTTCTGAACTTTGAAGTTGTCCATTTGAACTAAGTTTTAGGCTCTTTTCTCAGTTTGGTCCGATGTGTCAGGGTCAGACTCAGAGTCTGAATCCTCCCCTTCTTTTTCCTGAGTAGTTGTTTCGTCTTGGTCAACAGCCACAGCTCCTTTCCTTTGAGGTAGAACTGTGAAGAAGGCCTCCTGCCAGCTACCCCTCTCTAGGTATGCCAGGATGATCTCAAACACTGACAGAGGGACCAAAGCACATTTTAAAAACCAAATATAGGCAGTGGGAGTCAAAGCAGTAAGGATCCAACCTCTTTCCACAGAACAGCCATGAATAAGACTGGTCAACTGATCCTTTGATAAGCACAGCTCCATCAGTTACATCTGCTACACCTGTCAAGGCTTTTTATTGTTTCCAGTAGGGCTGCACGATATCAGGATGCATGCCATATGCGATAACACTGTTGAATATTGCAATGACAATATGACACACGATAAGTAAACAAATATTGAAATAAACAGTTTTAAAGTCTTTCTGCTTTAGGTTCACTCTGCTAATAGAGACCCTAGACAGTGAACGGCCTATGCACACTGAATTAAACAAAATTTTGTTCTATGGTTGTAATTATGGTTTTATTCATGTATGTTGAAAATGTATCTGAAAGCTAAATAAAATTCCAAATCTGAAAACTTCACAAAACCACAGACTGCATATGTATCCGTATATATACAGTCTGTATACATATCTCACGTTAAACTGAGTTTAGAGAGCACCAAAATCATCTACCCAGAATAAGGTCAGTCAGATGTGATATATGGTTGTGATGTGTGATCCCATAAAATTTATAAGATATAAGTTACTACTAATAAGATACTGTACAAATTTATTAGTTCAACATTTTGAGAAATTTGCTGATTCTCTTTCATTCTGCAAAGCTTTTATGTTTTGCTTCAATGTTTTATGCTTTTCACTTATTGAGACTATGAACAAAACAGGAAACAAAAAGAAACTGACCTTGCGTGAAAATGGCAGCAGCCGGTGAAAATTAGGGTGGGCGATATGGCCCTAAAATAATATCAGGATATTTCAGGGTATTTTTGCCATAACGATATTATTAGCGATATAACAAATTAGTAAAAAAAATATATTTTCTTATAAATTTAAGAACATAGAATTGAAACACAATATGTGATACAGTTTTATATGTCAGCCTAATAGTTTGCCTGCAAATACATTTAGTAAAAACTAAAGAAAAATTATCTCTCATTTCTTTAGTTTGTGAACAACAACAGTAACTCAGAGTGAGATTCAGATTCTGAATACAATATAGTACAAAACAATAATTCTAACACAAATTACACATTTAAACATTTCCCAAATACAAAAAAATGTATTTGGGAACTGGAGTTGGAGAGATAAAAACTGTACAAGATAATGTTTATGTAACCTAAATGAACAAGAAATATATCTTCTGAATGTCTCTCCAATACTAGTAGCAGAGCCGTTACTTAGCCGTTAAGCTTATCAATACTACTGTCTTTAATAATTTGAGCCTGGGGCCTGTTTAATACCAGGTTTCGATACCCATCCCTAGTTTCCACTGACTCCATCAGCACACCTTAAATTTCAGTATGACAACTTTGACCATACCATTAGTTTGTATTGTCTCTCTTGAATGACACACAGTTTTAGTAATTAGTGGATCTTCAAGCATTTAAAAATACACATTAATTTCATCTGGATTATGCAAACTGCATATATTCTAATCCTCACTAAAAAAAAGCATTGCTGACCTTAGTTCCTGTGGGCTACAGCAACACTAAGCCCCTGATCTTGCCTGAGAAGGACTAAATGCACAAATCTGCTATGTTTTAAAACTTCAATCAAGAGAGACTCACTGCAGCCTTTGCTATTTTGCTTCGAAAATGGCGGCTTGCAACCTTGTTCTGTGGATGATAAATGAGGTGCAGACTTTCATCTGTGTCACCAGTGAAGACAAAATACAGGGAGTGCTGGATGGAGCAGTGAGTGACACCAACCCCGCCCACATTTAAGAGTATTGTTTGTGGTGGAAACACTAAATGGACCTAGGGCCTAGGTACCATGTCTGAAGGATTACTTTTCGTTCAAAAGGTACTATACCGTAAAATGTTTGGTGGAAACGGGGCTTTTGATATATTGTGCAGCCCTACTGTGGATGTGTCAGTTCTGAAAAGGGCTTTTTAATAAAATAACCTGTAACCCCACAAAATAATGGTTACAACTGTAGGTAGAATGCTACTTAGGCAGATATGCTAACATTTGCAACTAACATTAAAGAAGAAACACTGCTTAATCCCTTTGTTACACTTTTGTCCCATTTTTCTGGTTTTGGAATGGCCAAAAAACAACATAACTGTACAAGGTCTTTATATACAGAGTACTGGACATGTAAACAGAGAGAAATCTGAAGCTTTAAGAAGCTGCTGTGTCGAGCTATGGTGACTAAGCTATAAATGGACACCACTGCACAGCAGAGGCTCAAAACTCATAATATCAGTCTCATATTTTGATCTGATACTAGCCCTTACCATGGTTGACTGCCAGAACTTTCCGACTGTTCATCTTGACAAAACTGCTCAGAGGAAGCTGAGCGTGGTCAATCCCCAACTCCTTCGCCCTCTCAAAGGTGATACCCTGCACACAAAACCCAGACAGAATCTGACAAACTGCCCTAAAATCAGTTAGCAGGAATACAACCAGCAGAGTGTTGTGAAATCAGACAGACCTTATGATGGTTGTGGTCCACCAGGCCTCCTATCACATAAGCCTTTTTGTGGTCTAGCTCTTCCAGCACGTTGGGAGAGTCTGACGTAAGGTACACCAGCTCCTCCTTCACCATAACTTCACTGTAGTGCTCCATTTTAATGTTGATGTCCTGCACTCAAAAGCAGCACAAAAATATACCCACAGTTAGAAAATCTGTACAATGATATTAATACAAGTCAAAGTATATCAAAAAAACATTTATGCAAATGAAGGCAATTGCTTTCAAATTGCAAGGACCACCACAGTCTAACTGTACTGTTGTAATAAAGTTTAATAAAATACTGTTATAATTAAGTTAAAGTACTGTTATCATAAAGTTAAATAAAGTACACTTATAATAAAGTAAAATAAAGTACTGTTGTTATAAAGTTAAACAAAGTGCTGTTATAATTAAATAAGTCAAATCGAAACCACTGTGCTTTTATTTTAAAGCACCTGGCTCTTCTCGGGCAGGAAGTGTTGATGTTTTGCTGTGAAGCTTCCAGTCAGAAGTCAGATGCTAGCAGTTAGACGAAAGTTAAACTGTTGCTGCTGTACCTTTAAACATGAGGATTTATTCACTGTGAGCTGTAAACACACTAACAGCTCTCCACTTCATTATTAATAATATTTTCAGGTTGCTCTGGTGCTCCAGGGTCTCAACATGTGACTAAATAGTCACGGTCTACAGCCCTGCAGGCACTCAGTGTATATCACAGCGTAGATAGATTCTGCCAGCAATAAAATTACTTTTACTTTGAAACCCTGGACTTCACAAGTTTTTAGTTTTGGTCATATGACCAGAATTTGTGAAATTAAAAAAACTCTTGGGTTCTGCTGCATCTATTTTCATCTATTTTCTTTCCAACTGTCCATAATGACTCAGACAATGCCAAACAGGGGCACTCTTATGAATCAGTGTACATGTGTAGGAGCTCTTTAACATCATGGCACTTTTTTCAGTGCCTTAAGTCAGATACTGATGTTCATTTGGGCATGACATAATAACCCCAAAACTCAGTTGGACAGCCTGCTTGAAGGAACTTGTCCCCAACAAAGGCAGACTGAAAAGAGTTGCTTGGTTGTGAAAACTCAAATCTGTGTAAATGTCATTTACTGTAGCATCATGCTTACCTTCCAGTTTACCCATCCTTTGTCCTTTTCATCCATGCTCTGTTTCAGCTGTCCTCCCAGGCTAGTGAGATAAAACTGGAGAGGTGAGAGTAGTTGTTAGACATCACACAGGACTGTCTCTGCTGTTTCATGTCAGCCAGTAGTCACTGACCTGCACCGGGTGCAAGGCTCGTCTGTTCTCAGCATAGCACCGCTGGATCTGTTTGTGAAGCTTCCGTACATCCTGAAAACACAACAAGATTATTGATCAGGAAAGTCAGTACCTCGATTCATATCTCAGTATGGACCGCAGAGCTGTTCACCTTTATCAGCATGAGGTTATCGAAGCTGCAGTCCACCACCAGCCTCAGTGAGCTGGGAGTCACGTCTCTCCTTGGACGTTTCCTAACATTCAGGATCTCTCCTCCCTTCTCCTCCTGATGATTGTCCCTCTGTAAGCGACGCTGCTGCTTTCTCTCCTTCCGTCTCTGCCTGCAACAGAAAGCACAGGACAGATAAATGTGGGCCATGATACGACAGCATGCTGCAGACTCACGCTTTTTAGTCATATGTCTAAAGTAAATACACACTCTGTGCTGTAATTATTATTTCTGGAGTATATTCTACTTGTTACTGGGTTGGATCAATTCATTGTTGGTTTTGCATGTTCCATGAGATTTGTTAGAACAGATTTTCTTATACTAATAAAATGCTGACTATTACCAGACTCATGGTGTGATGTTTGCATAAAACATGTGTAACATGGATATTCATTAGGGGTGGGAATTGCCAGAGGACCCACGACATGATATTATCAGGATACTTAGGTCACAATACAATATTGTGATATGCTGAGTATTGTAATAAAATATTTTGTGATAGATTGCAATTTATTACCTTTATTCTTTTCAAATGCAAATTATTTCCCAAAGGGAAACTTTGTTAACATCAGTTTTACCTCATAAGATAAAGTTTTCAGTCCATTCATTGACTTAAATCATTTTTATTGCAGCAAAATGTGATGCAAAGCAAATCTTTGCACACGAGGTAGGTGATGGACTGTGTTATTTTCTTAGCTCTCTCAGAATTGGATGGAAGTATGTACGGTGTTGGTTGATTTTTTGGCAGAGCGTTTAGTTTTCCCGGAGAATTTTATTCTCATATGACACTGCTTGCAAATCACATAAGTGATATCCAAGTGCACCTTTCCTTCCATGTTAAAAAATCTGAAATAAGTCCAGACCTCTTTGTTTTGATGAACTTCCTGCCAAATGCTGCTGACTGAGACCTCTGGTGACCTCACCAGGAAAAAAAAAATATCTGCACCATCTAGTGGAGTGAAAAAGCAATTGATTTTATTATTCTAGTACCAAAAAATGTGGATTTGCAAAAAATCATTTATATGATAAAATATTGATTCCTGGCATCTGTGTATCGATACAATGTCTCCATGCAAAATATTGTGATGCTATGATGACTGGCAAATGAAACACTGGATGACAAACATGCAGCAGTCAGCAGTTTCAGTTCATGTTATGATAGTGATAATGGAGAAGATTTTTAAAAACATTTTAGGTGCACTCATTTTAAGGATTTACATTATTATAACAGACAGAACTGATGACTGGAACTACAAGAATATAGCTCCAATTGTGGAGATGCATGACAATATTGGCATGTCATCGGTATCGGCCGATATCAGCTTTAAAATGAATTATCAGAATCGGACAACATGCTTTTCTTATTTTGCACAATGAATGAATATTACATATAGTGAAAAGCACGGTATTTCATGTCTCCATCTGCTGGTGGGCCATCATGATAAGAGTATGCATGCATGCATAATATGTCAATTCTGTTACAGAAGAGACTTGATATTCACTAAAGTTAGGTTGGGAGAAAAAAATGTATATATATCGTTAATAAGTTGTTACATATCGGCATATCAGATAGTGACAAAAACCCAATATCGTGCATCAATAACAAATCGTAATAATCCAGATTTTTCATCACTGCTGACTTCTACTGTACCTGGCCATTTAGCAGAATAGATTTCCACAATGCTTAAAGAGGTCCAACAGCACATATTAAACCAATAGACTGCGAACCTCGGTGTCTGAGTCCATCACTGACTTTGACAGTGGTACGGACAGCGTTACAATGAGCGAACTTACTTTCGCAGCTCCCTCTCTTCTTCCCATTTCTGCTGCTTCAGAAGCTTCTTCCTTTGCCTTTTGGACACATTTTGGTTTTGTGCTGCAGCGTCTCCATTACCGCTCTCTGTCTTCTGACTCATCTGACTGTCTCCATTCTCATTTTCCTGCTGGGCTGGAGCTTCACTTTTCACGCTGTCATCGGCCATCTGGGAAGAGAAGAGAAGACTGATGTCTGCTGCCTAATGTTGCTCTGTCAGCTAGCTGTTGATGTTAGCGCGTCGGCTGCTCTGTACAGAAAGCTAACTGGCAGCATTTAATATCACAGTTCTTAACTATAATTTAACTCAGAACGAAACTCTTTTAAAAGCCCTTTAATACCCAGATATCCAACCACAGACAGTCAAACCAACCGAGAAAATCAACTCAACAAATTCGTTTAACTTGACCACACACTTCCACATGGATGTTATGTTAGCGCTAATATGACGTCATCGAACCGCGCCAGCTACATCATACTTTTTTTAAACTTTATTTTTAACTTTGTATTAACAGTTTTAACACAGTGCACTCAGTGATCAGTACATTACAGTACATAATTAATGATCAAAAATTATAAATGAAAAATAATGAGACAAGGAAGCACAGACTTCAGTAAACTGATGCAACTGTACAAAACCAGACAAAAATAAATAAACAGTTTGTATGAACACACACATGAACACACAAACAGTGGTTTACCTTATTAGTTATGAAGTTATAAGATTTGCACTAAGCCATTAGTTTTAATTACATATTTTTAAGTTTGATATTATTTTAAGATATGTATCTAGATCTGATTTTTTTTGAAAGTAGGATATGAGTGAAATTTACTGTATGAATATACAATTATGCTAAAATATATAGCCTAGCAAATTAATTATATATTGTTCATTATTGGAGAAATTTGGATTTTTGAATATTATTAACAAATCAGGTTCTTTGAGTGAAATGTTATTGCCAAAATTTCTTTGGATATCCATACTGAAAATCAGTCCAGGGCCCTATTTCAGAAAGCAGGATTAGTGAAAACTCTGAGTATGTTGAGCCTGAGATGAGGGGAACTCAGAGTTTCCCAGCTCAGGCTCAGTCAACTCAGAGATTGGGATTATGCTCAGTTTGTTGAGCCTGCTCTCTGAAATAGGGCCCAGAAGATAGTCACATAACAATAACAATAATAATAATAATACATTGAAGGGCACTTTTCATGGTACTTAAAGACACTTTACATCAGTTAGAAACTATCATAAAATAGAATACAGTAAAATACACACATCATTAACACATTAAAAGCGGTTTTGATAAGATGAGTTTTGATGATGGATTTGAACTGGGAGAGGTCAGAGCGATCTTGAATGTGTTTGGGGAGAGAGTTCCAGAGGGAGGGAGTGGCTATGGAAAAGGCTCCATCGCCCCAGGTCCAGTGCTTGGTCTGGAGATGTGGAGTCAGGAGTTTGGCATCAGAGGAACAGAGACTACGGGAAAGAGTGTGAAGGTAGAGCAGGTCGGTGAGGTAGGATGGGGCCTGGTTATGGAGGGCTTTATGAGTGAAGAGAGAGACGTTGAATTGGATGCATTGTGGGACAGGGAGCCAATGAAGGTTCTGAAGGACAGGGGTGATGTGATAGCAGGATCGGGAATGGGTGAGCAGACGGGCAGCAGAGTTCTGGATGCATTGGAGCTTATTTAGGACTTTGGATGGTGTTGAATGCTGTCACAGTGAATTCTGGATGTGATAAGTTCATGGATGAGAGTTGCGGCAGCAGAGGGGGAGAGTGATGGACAGAGATGATCTATGTATTTTTAGTTTTTTTAGGAGGCAAAAGGCAGTACTGGTGATGTGATTGACATGTTTTTCGAAAGAGAGGTTGTTGTCGAAAATGAATCCGAGGTTGCAGTTGTGTGGGGAAGAATGCAGAGTGGAATTGTCAGCGGTGAGGCAGAAGTTGTGAGAGGTTTTGGTGATGGGTTTGGGACCGATGATGATCATGTCAGATTTTTCGAAGTTCAGTTTGAGGAAGTTGGCTTGCATCCAGGACTTGATTGAAGCAGGTGGTCAGAGTGGACAGAGTTTCAGTGGTGATGGACATAGTGGAAATATAGAGCTGGATGTTATCAGCATAGCAGTGGAAGTTGAGACTATGGCTGCAAATAATGTTGCCAAGGGGAGCGTGTAAAGGATGAACAGGAGGCAACCAAGCACCGAACCCTGGGGGAGGCCTTGGGATAGAGGAGCAAGGGAAGAAGTGTAGTTGTTAATACTGATAAACAGATGCCAGTTTGTGAGGTATGACCTTAGCCAGGAGAGGGCAGTACTGGTGATGCTGAGGGAAGATGGGAGGCAGGAAATGAGAATTGTGTGGCTGTGTTTCAAAGGCTGCTGTAAGATCAAGAGGGATAAGAATTGAGAGGTGACCAGAGTCTGTGGCGAGGAGAAGGTCATTGGTGAATTTGAGGAGGGCAGTTTCCATGCTGTGCTGTGAGCGGAAGCCAGATTGAAATGGTTTAAACAGGTCATTGGAAGAGAGGTGGGCTTTAAGTTGCGAGACAACGGCACGTTCCAGTATTTTTGATGTAAAGGGGAGCTATGAGATGGGTCTGAAATTATTCATGTTGGCAGGATCAAGTCCAGTTTTTTGAGGATAGGGGTGACAGCAGCCAGTTTGAGTGTTTGAGGGACTGAACTGGAATTAAAGGATGAGGTGATCATTTCTGGGATGATTGAGGAGACGGCAGGGAGGCAGTCCTTAAAGGATAACTTCGGTATTTTTCAACCTGGGCCCTTTTTCCCCCATGTGTATGTGTGCGTATGATTCATAGGTACAACTCGTTCTAAAATTTCAGTTCAGTATTGAGGGAGGCGGATGCAGCCGGCAGCCGCGAAACGAGCTGAAACAGTAATGGGGGCAAATGCGTCCCGTATAAGTTTGTGCATTAAAAGTGCTTTTTTTCACCACTGACCAGTTCAGATCGACAGTGTTATCCGCCTCCCTCAATACTGAACCAATTTTAGAACGAGTTGTACCTATGAATCATACGCACACATACGCATGGGGAAATAGGGCCCAGGTTGAAAAATACAGAAGTTATCCTTTAACAAGTGTGGATGGGAGGGGTCAAGAGCACAGGTGGAGTTTTTTATGACATCCATTGTTTGATTTCTTGTGTGCATTGTTCTAGATTAGTCAGTTGATGAGAGGTGTCAGGCTTGATGGATATGTAGAGCTGAGTATCATCTGCATAAAAGTGGGAACGCAATTTATATATATTTTATTACCATTGTGAAGAATCTGATAGATAGATGCTCTGAAAACTTTAATTTGTTTATTGATAAGACGAGGAAAAAACTTGGCTTCAGAGAGATTTATCTCTGAAACTATGAATACTTTTAACTAAGGCAAAGGGATTTTCTCGCCTTACCTATGCAGCTATCCCCCTGTCTGTAGACAAGCAGCTCTGTAATGTCATTGATGAATTATTATTCAACTTTATTTGGAAGAGCAAGACACACTTTGTAAAAACGTCTGTGATTATGAACACTTGTGATTCTGGTGGTCTAAATTTTCTTGATTTCACTACTCTTAATAATACCTTTAAAGTCAATTGGATAAAACAATCTCTGCATAGTCCCACATCCACTTGGAACTTCATACCCAAATACGTTTTCTCTACCATTGGAGGTCTTGTATATGTTCTTCTATGTGATTACAAGATAGAGAAACTCCCCCTAATCCTGTCAAATTTTCATAAGCAAATGCTTTTGGCATGGTCATTAATTTATAAACATAACTTCTCCCCACATAAATGTTTCATTTCGAATAATCAGCACATCAGATATAAAAATAAATCCCTATTCTTTCAATCATGGTTTAATAACAACATCATTTTAGTAATCCAGCTACTCAATGATGATGGAAATTTGCTAAATTATTCTGAGTTCCTCCAAACATTTGGTGTCCCTGTTACCCCAAAAGAGTTTGCCATTGTAATGGATGCTGTTCCCTCTGGTATCCTAACTCTGCTAAGAGGGGCTGACAAGCTGGTCTGTTTACCATCTCTGGACCCCACATTAACTTCAGTGGGTCACACATGCTTCTCTGTCACACCCAAAAACAATAATTGTAATATTAGATCATTATTTCAGACAGACATCATCAGTTCCCACTCTGCTGTTCAATACTGGACTGGTCTTGTTGGTGACCTGCACTGGACCAATGTGTGGAACCTCCCATACTAATAAAGTGATGGAGGTGTCTTCTAAATGATTTCATAGATACTACCCTGCCAAGCATTTTATGTTAGAATTTAAAGGGCCACTGTGTAAAATGGGTTGAAAACCGCTGAAAACAGTGACATCAATGGTCAAATTCTAAATTGCAGGGCTCACTCGCTCACCCCTCCCGTCGGGTAAATGACGGTGGCCTTGTAGGGACAAAAGCCTTGCGCAGACACGAGTTTTTCAGGAGCAGGTCTATCTAGCGACGAGGTAAATGTTTATTTAGAAATCTAAACCATGTTACGATATTGTAATGAATCCCTCACGAGCAGGAGACCGGAGTAGCGTTCGGGAAAAAGGCCAGTTTATTTGAGCACTCCAAAAACTCCGGTAACGCTCCAGGGGGTAAAAGACTCCGTCCCAAACTCTGACTCTTCTAGCGTAACACACACACTCCATACACACATACTCGTTTACAATACCTAGCGGGCACCCCCTCCCCTCTCTGCTCCACCAGTCTCCAGCCCGCACACTGACTGACAGCGTAGCCTGTAAACAGAGCTCAGCTGTTTATTTAGCCTAGCAATATCTCCGGACTATAGTAGCTGCAATGGACGACTTTGAACGCTATTTTGAAGAGTTTCTTGTAGCGGACACAGACCCAGAGCCATACCTGTTTGAGCCGGAGCATACAGATGAGGAACTTGGATGCTGAGCGGGCGAGAAGAGAGGCTGAATCCTTCGCTCCCATTTTGCTGCACAGAATGGGATTCGGTGCTACTGCTACCATCGTTGGGGAGATATATCATCAGGAGGAAAAGCGCCGCAGAGAGTGCATCACAAGGAGTGAAGTCGCGTCTTCTTTTCCTCGCAGATGGCGGTTCGGGTTCATTCTCTCCTGTTGCGTGGTAAGTGTGGTCCATTCACAAACTTTATAACTAAAAAAACCTTTCACTACTCTCTATCGACGAACTACTAACACTCTCTGCTGTTTCCTCCTCCTTCTTCCTTCCTTCCGCTGTCTTCGTTGGTTTATTTATACACTCGAAACGTGTTCTCTGGCTGGCTGGATTGTCCGCACGGTCTGCCATACATACATGGCGGCGCAAGATGGCGACCTCTCTAAAGCAAGGCCCTTGCTATACAGTACAGGCCAAAAGTTTGGACACACCTTCTCATTCAATGCGTTTTCTTTATTTTCATGACTATTTACATTGTAGATTCTCACTGAAGGCATCAAAACTATGAATGAACACGTGGAGTTATGTACTTAACAAAAAAAGGTGAAATAACTGAAAAAATGTTTTATATTCTAGTTTCTTCAAAATAGCCACCCTTTGCTCTGATTACTGCTTTGCACACTCTTGGCATTCTCTCCATGAGCTTCAAGAGGTAGTCACCTGATATGGTTTTCCAACAGTCTTGAAGGAGTTCCCAGAGGTGTTTAGCACTTGTTGGCCCCTTTGCCTTCACTCTGCGGTCCAGCTCACCCCAAACCATCTGGATTGGGTTCAGGTCCGGTGACTGTGGAGGCCAGGTCATCTGCCGCAGCACTCCATCACTCTCCTTCTTGGTCAAATAGCCCTTACACAGCCTGGAGGTGTGTTTGGGGTCATTGTCCTGTTGAAAAATAAATGATAGTCCAACTAAACGCAAACCGGATGGGATGGCATGTCGCTGCAGGATGCTGTGGTAGCCATGCTGGTTCAGTGTGCCTTCAATTTTGAATAAATCCCCAACAGTGTCACCAGCAAAACACCCCCACACCATCACACCTCCTCCTCCATGCTTCACAGTGGGAACCAGGCATGTGGAATCCATCCGTTCACCTTTTCTGCGTCTCACAAAGACACGGCGGTTGGAACCAAAGATCTCAAATTTGGACTCATCAGACCAAAGCACAGATTTCCACTGGTCTAATGTCCATTCCTTGTGTTTCTTGGCCCAAACAAATCTCTTTTGCTTGTTGCCTCTCCTTAGCAGTGGTTTCCTAGCAGCTATTTGACCATGAAGGCCTGATTGGCGCAGTCTCCTCTTAACAGTTGTTCTAGAGATGGGTCTGCTGCTAGAACTCTGTGTGGCATTCATCTGGTCTCTGATCTGAGCTGCTGTTAACTTGCGATTTCTGAGGCTGGTGACTCAGATGAACTTATCCTCAGAAGCAGAGGTGACTCTTGGTCTTCCTTTCCTGGGTCAGTCCTCATGCGTGCCAGTTTCGTTGTAGCGCTTGATGGTTTTTGCGACTCCACTTGGGGACACATTTAAAGTTTTTGCAATTTTCCGGACTGACTGACCTTCATTTCTTAAAGTAATGATGGCCACTCGTTTTTCTTTAGTTAGCTGATTGGTTCTTGCCATAATATGAATTTTAACAGTTGTCCAATAGGGCTGTCGGCTGTGTATTAACCTGACTTCTGCACAACACAACTGATGGTCCCAACCCCATTGATAAAGCAAGAAATTCCACTAATTAACCCTGATAAGGCACACCTGTGAAGTGGAAACCATTTCAGGTGACTACCTCTTGAAGCTCATCGAGAGAATGCCAAGAGTGTGCAAAGCAGTAATCAGAGCAAAGGGTGGCTATTTTGAAGAAACTAGAATATAAAACATGTTTTCAGTTATTTCACCTTTTTTTGTGTGTTCATTCGTAGTTTTGATGCCTTCAGTGAGAATCTACAATGTAAATAGTCATGAAAATAAAGAAAATGCATTGAATGAGAAGGTGTGTCCAAACTTTTGGCCTGTACTGTATATATATATAAAAGCATAATTATAAGGCTACGAAAACCAAATGAATTTTATTTTATAGCGATTATACACTTATATAAACATATTAATGGGTAGAATATTCAGATTCAGATTCAGATTTGACAATAAACCATGCCAAATATTACACACTGGCCCTTTAAGAAAGATATTTGTGTGGACTGCTCATTGTGTGAGTCTGAACCTGAAACAATGTTGCATTTGTTTTGGCATTGCCCCTTTACTGCCACCTTCTGGGCAGAAATAACCCAGTACATTACGGCCAAGATTGATTTTTTTTTTTCTGTGCTGGAAAGACGTAGGCTAGGTACTGTTCGGTCTCCACAACAACCAAAGCAAAGCAAAAAACAGTTGTTGATCATCTTAGGGAAATATCATATTCACAAGGCCAAATTTACTCATTCAAAACCTTCATAACCTTCGAAAAGGAGACTGAACAATACATCCAAAGCATAGCCTATCTGACTCCTAAAACAAGAAAGCTGCAAAAACTTTTACTTTGTCCTCATCATCTGATATCTTTATTTGAAATTCCCCCGACTCTTTTTTGAGTGTTTGTATGTATTAATAACTCCGCTGTTGTTATCTTCAATAAAGATTAAATAAAAAACAAAAACAAAACAAAAAAACACAGAGATGGAATGTTGAAGGACGTGAAGTTATAGCCTATGTAAAAACACAGCCAGAGCCTCTCTTCTGCGATGTATTCCATTTTATATTAGAAAGTCCATGCGGTTCGGATGCTGCTGGTTGTTGTAGAGTAATTTGTAGGCTATTTTTGTCTTTTCCGTATTTATGGCTCAGTCTTTTTTTCTCTCTCTTGCCTCTGACCCTTGAGCTGCCGTGTCGTGTGTGTTCTTAATAAAATCCCCGTGTGGAAATTGAATCAATAAAGTGTTATTTTACCTAAAAACTTTTACTTCCTGCCATGATCATGCACACTCCGGTCCAGCAGGTGGCAGTGTGCGCCTGTCCTGCTGATTTGCATCTAACAGTGAAAGTAGATGTCTATGGCTGTAACTGCTTGTCCATGCTGAGATGTCGGGGACAGACAGTTCAGTGGCCTGTGGACAGTTTCAGACTGTCCCCCTGTCAGAGCTGGACTTCCCCGGTCAGCCGTACTCCGTGACCGTCCTTAAAGCCGGATACTGTCTCCCTCAAACCGACGGTACGTTTAGAGCCGACGGGACCATCACCCTCATAACAGGACCCAGGACTATTCTGGTGGACACCGGAGGGCCGTGGGACCGGGACTTTCTTCTAACGACACTGAAAGAGAGGGGTCTGGAACCAGGGGACGTTAACGTGGTGGTGGGGACTCACGGACATTCAGACCATGTAGGTAATCTGAGTGTTTTTCCAGCAGCAATGATGATTGTGGGATATGACGTCAGTGAAGGGGACACATACCGTCCCAACCAGCTGGCAGAGGGACAGGCGTACTCCATTGATAAGCAGGTAAGATAACTGAGTATAACAGTAGTTTAAGTAGGCCGAAGTCGTCCACTTTTTCTCATTAGCTTGAACACATTTGTCCCTTCAGAAGTCTTCAAAACAGACCTAAACTAAAAGTCACTGTCCAAAATTCTAGGCTACAACTTAAAAAACATGCATCAAGAGAAAATATTTTTCCACCAAACATTACAACCTGTGGTCTAATTTTATTTTCGCACCACACAATGGACAACAAAATCCAAAATGCAGCTATCAGTGTGAACTGCTTCAAATTTTTGCTACACCAGTAAATACTTTGCATTTACATTCTAGTCTAGTCTCCCTCCACAATAGGCTATAGATCAAGAGGCTACTGCTTGGTTTGAGAAATTTGCATTTGCTAAATAAATAAAATAGTTACATTGTGTGCCCAAAAAAGGCAAGCAAGCATATCCAGCATATTCTTTTCTCCAAAGTTTTTACTAGAGATAATAAACCCTGATGCACTCTGCACCTGTATTTTATTTTATTTATTTATTTTATTTTTTTTTTTACACATTTTCAGATGCTTTGTTTAAATGTAAAAAAAGGGAGACAGATATTTTCTGAGAAAGCCTTCATTCATTTTATTATATTCATCATTCATTTGTTTGTGTATTTGGTCTCTTTGATTCATGCTTGCAAACGGCAACACAGATGTGGCATCTTTTAACTGACTGAAGACTTGTGCAAAGGAGTGTCATACACAGGTGCATTACAGATTCATAATTGTGCAAGTAATTCTTATCAGATCTTGGGGTCTTTCTATGAGATCTTTGTTAAAGGATAACTTTGTCATTTTTCAATCTAGACCCTACTTTTCCATGTTTATGTGTCAGAGAGACTGATGTGAGCAGTAATATTTCAAATTGATCCAGTATGTAGCAGCTGGCAGTTGCAGGATGGGCTGCAGTGTGAGCATATGGGGCAACTGAACACTGTCACTGTATCTTCATTTAAAGTGGTTATCTTTGACACAGACAGGCTCAGATCATTATTATTATAAGTGGCTTATGTATCTCTTTACCTTTCAATTGAGCTGGGGTCTCATATAAAACAGTTCCTAGGAGCCATACTTGGAGTGTAGGGTGAAGTGAGGGTGACTGGGACACAAGGTCAAATGGGGCAGTATAACTACAGGGTTTATTTTCTCACCTGATGAGTGAAAAAAAAATAAAGAAAAATTTTGATTAGCCATAGAGTGCCAAAGTCACGCCCCTTCCAGTAGAGCTCATGGGACCTTAGGTCAGAAAAAATATGAATGGCAGTGAATGGGGAGAGCAATATTATCTTTTGTTCCCGTTTGAGTTGCGACATGAAATCTAAATATGTTGTTAATGAATTTAAAACATAAATTTTAAGGTCAAGAAAGTCATACTTTGTGGTAAAACTGTTGAGATATAAGCTTTTGAAAAAAACGTAATTAGAAAAACTACACAGGAGGCGGTCGCGTATGTGACGTCATAGCTTTCGCTCACTTCCTGCAGCTTGGAGTGACTGCAACCTGGCACAAAACACACAGACATCTTCAATCATAAATCGATTAATCATAAAACAGTGGAATTTCAGCGGGGAGGCCAAGCTGCAGGAAGCGAGCGAAAGCTATGACATCACATACGTCATACGGTCAATAAAGTCATACTTTGTGGTAAAACTGTTGAGATATAAGCTTTTTAATTAAAAAGACTCAAGAGTACACAGGAGGAGGTCGTGTATGTGATGTCATAGCTTTCGCTCGCTTCCTGCAGCTTGGCAGGAGATACAAAAGATAATATTGCTCTCCCCATTCACTGCCATTCATATTTTTTCCAATCTATGGTCCCATGAGCTTCACCGGAAGGGGCGTGACTTCAGCACTCTATAACTTTGAAACCATGTAATCAAAATTGCATGCTCTCATTGGTGTGACATCACGTAGATGGGTGTGGCAAGATATATAGGAAGCGGAAGTTGACCCTGCAGTGCATGAGGCAAGGAAAATGACACAAGCTTTAGTTAGTTTTCATCATAAGATCATAAAATTGACATATACAGTACAGGCCAAAAGTTTGGACACACCTTCTCATTCAATGCGTTTTCTTTATTTTCATGACTATTTACTTAACAAAAAAAGGTGAAATAACTGAAAACATGTTTTATATTCTAGTTTCTTCAAAATAGCCACCCTTTGCTCTGATTACTGCTTTGCACACTCTTGGCATTCTCTCGATGAGCTTCAAGAGGTAGTCACCTGAAATGGTTTTCCAACAGTCTTGAAGGAGTTCCCAGAGGTGTTTAGCACTTGTTGGCCCCTTTGCCTTCACTCTGC